CAGTAAACAGCTTCACTGTTTGAAGGAAATCATTTTTCACGCATCAGGTACTGGTAACTTTTAGCACTCTGACTACTGCATAATATCTATTCATGATCTCATTTTCAAATTTAAAGTCCATTTTTATTTAAAGAACTAGAAATGCTAAACTAGGGTAGTAGTTATTTATTATGTATTAGTTATTAATAGCAATGGTTATTAATAGTAATTAGTTATTAATAGTAAAAGTTTTTAGTGATATTTTTTCAGTGCCTATTTGAGGCTGGTTACCATTTTTAAGTTATTTGTATGTAGTTTTATATACTTTTGCGCAATGAATTTACAAATCAGCCATTATTTCTTTAATGCTAAATTATTAGTAGGTAAAAAGAAATCATTCAAATCCATTTATAAATTAGATTTAGATATATGAAGAGCTATAAATTTTCATTACAGTTTTCATTTATCCTTATGATGCCGTGAAAAGCCGGAATTGAAGACTCAATAGTCGGCAGACTATTAAGCAGGTATTCTTTATTACGGCGCCGGGCACACGGGGGATCTCTCCTCCAAACGTGTGCACCGAAGAGACACAGTTACTAGGTATTTATGCTATGTTAACATATATATTAATTACATTTCGAAGAAATGTTTATCATAGTAATGGCTTTTCCGAGAACTCATTAATATATGGTAATGTCCGTCGCACATGTTTGTTTGGCGTCTCTTCCCTTTTCTTGCAACCGTCCCAATTATTCACAAAGAACCAAGACTTGTTTTGGTTGTGCAATGATTCTGACCACCTGAAGTGATAACATCCCCTACATGTTACGTTTGTTACATTTACAGTTATCACTTAATTTTAAAACAAGAATTTATGGCAAATAATGTTTCTGAGTTTTCAGACAACCTTCATTATTGTGAAAAGACATTTTGCCCTTAACTGACATAACGAAATGAAGCTGAGATGTCAAATTCTTGTCCTCTCATGCAGTTGCTGAATATCGCACTGTTTATGAAATGTTTAAAATATTTCAACCATTACATAAAAGCAAGAACATCTGTTCTGGTTTTGGCTGCAGCCGGCAACAAAAGCGCCACGCGGACGCCCGTTGGCCGACCCTCCCCCCCCCGCGGTGCGGAGGAGAATGGAAAGAAACAGGCAGAAAACGGGTGGGTCGGGATAAGGGCAGTTTAACAGCAAACAGAGGGAACAGGAACAACAACGATACAGATAAGGAGAATACACAACACAGCCCGCCCAGCTGTGCCCCTTCCTGGATTCCAGTGAAAATTAACCCTGTCCTGGCCGAACCCAGGACAACATGTATTTGGGAAAAAGTATAATTTGCAAGTGGTGGTCAAGTAAAGTCAACAAAGTTTCCTTTTGAAGGAAATTCTACAAGGTTAATACATAGTATTGATTCTGCTCTAAAAGATTGAAGTTACTGTAGCTAGCACAGGCAGTGGGAAACCATGTTGTGAATTTGGGAGATGTTGCAAAAAAATCTGTCAGTACTGATGGGAAAAGCTCTTTGGCTTGAACAGAAGCCCCACCTTTGAGTAAAAGCAGAACTTTCACTGTTGATCTCTGAATCCAGTGTGTCCTGGGCCACAAGATTAGCTCTCACCTCCTCCCTATTCCTTCCCATGGCTCTTGAGCCAGATCTACTAACAATGATGGTAGTGAAAAGCTATGGCAGTATTTTAAGAAGTAAAAAAATTTATGATGATTTGCAACACTGTTTATCTATTGGTTTCATCTGCCCTGTTATGTCATTCTGTAATAATACAGAAAAAAATGCAGGTTCCTATTTCAGTCAAAGCACTTCATACATTTTAATGCATTGAATCCTTAAATATCCTAAAGCACAGGTTAATAACGTCGCTGTTTTAAAGTTGGAAAACACAGAAATAGAGAAGCTAACATCAGCATTTTCAACCATCCACAGACTGTTAAGTGTCTCCTCAAAAACATAAAATAGACAAAATCAGTGAATTTTTTTTGACACTGAAGGTCATACGGAGTTGATTGGGATGCAGTGAATAGCTGTGGCAGTATCAGGAAAAGAAGAGGCCCACACTGTTCTTCTGTTTTTTCTCTAAAGCAGTTCTAGGAAATGTAAATGTTATGACGATGTTACTAATTTGACATAAAATTATTTTCAAGTTTTTATTTCTTAAATATCCAAGATGCAGAAAACTATTTTGCAGAAAAGCAAAAAGTAATAATTATGACATGTTTTGACCTATGCTTTCGAAAAGGTCATTTTCATCTGAAAAGGTTGGTAGAAAACATAGATTTTTTTAAAGGTTTTGGGAAAAGTTGCAAGGAGCAATTATTTGATTGGTTCTAAAATATAATTCATATTAACCAAAAAAGGATGCAACTAAACAACCATGTTTGCTTTGAACATAGAGAAATACAAATTTTCCCACAGTTATTTCACTTTCAGTCGTAATACAGCAACACATTAGCAAGGCTAAATCTGAAACTGTAGCTTTAAATGGACACTTATCTGGCATCTAGTAGAGGCTGTAGAGAAAACAGTTTATTTTGTTCTGCTGACTGTGTTTTGACTGTAAATAGAACAAGAAATGTGTTTCAGCTTACAGGGTTGTCCGTTCCCATTGGCCAGATAATTAAAGGTCCTCTGTTTTTTCAGCAAAACTCTGAAGCTTAGGAGAGCACGTCCCCACTTTCATCATGCTTAGGAGTGTTTCAGACTAACCCTAAAACATGTCACTGCTCTTGGTGTCCTAACAAGAAAGGCAAGGCAAAGAAGGGAAGGGAAGGGAAGGGAAGGGAAGGGAAGGGAAGGGAAGGGAAGGGAAGGGAAGGGAAGGGAAGGGAAACTCAGATTTTCATGTGAGTAAAAAAATAACATCCTGAGGAGCTGAAAGGAAACTGCACTATGGCAAAGGGATTCATGTCCTTGGGACATGGATTGCTATTAACAAGTTTAGATAGAAGAAAGAAAGTTTTATTCTAACAATTCTTTCATTACAACTCAGATGTGCCAGGTACTGATTTCTTCATTCTTTGGACCCATAAGTCCTGTTAAACTTCAAAGCAAGTTAGAGGTATTCAGCACTTCAAAAAATGGTGCCCATAATTCTCCTCCACCTGCAGTTTTGAGCAGCTGTGCGCATGTTATCCATCGTTAGCCAGGGAAGCCCACAGTCCAGGTGCTGGGAGGCTGCCACCAATGGCTTTCCGACGTTGGCGTGACACATCTGCCACAGTCCTCCGATGCGGTTAGGAGGCAGGGCCCTGCGGTGCTGTCCTGTGCAGTGGTGGAGGTGCCGGGGCCCTGCCGCATCCCACACCACTGCCTCCAGCCGGGGCTCATGCGGGCAGTGCAGACCCTGGTCCAGTCAGCAGCGGTGGGGCCTAGGTTTTGCTTGGTCAAAACAAGCGGATTAACTCCTGAATCTTAATCATGCCCCGTTGCCTGCTTCCTTGTTTTTATCCCTGTGGTATTTTTCATCCTCTGAAACCAACATAAAGATCATATTTTGCTTCAGTTTCTGAAACCTCGTCATTTTTTCCAGACTTTCCATTTCACGCTGTTTGAATTTTATTAAGACCTCTTTACACAAAAGCAGAGTACCAGCTATACGATGCCCTGAGGGGTCTGAAAGACTGTTGCTATAATTTTGCAAAACTCTGGAGATGTTTTATTTCTGCCAGAAGATCTTTGGAGAGTTGTGGCTAAGGATATAAAATATCTTAAATGTTTACAGCAGGGATCTTGATCTCCATTGGAATTTAATACAAAAGCTTTTCTTTTTTTTGAATCTGTTAATTGGCACAACACATTAATACTGATCAAATAATACCTGTATACAAAGTGGATTGTATTTTCTTTACATCTTGGGATGGGGAAGACAATTTTATTCCAGAATTATGAATAATATCGTTAAGGGTAATATCACGAATCATCTATTCTTAAGACGATGACTTTCCTTTCAACACCTCAACTGATCATTACAGCTGAAGGTGCTAGGATATTTAAAAAATTAAATGTTCTTAAAAATAATATAAACATTTAAAACCCTAGAGGAACCTGATATTTTAAGGCAAATCGAAATCTTTCTATTGTTGAAGGATGTTATGCATCAGTGACTCAGGTCAACAATTTTCTATCGCAGATAACTGAAAATATTCACAGAAAGTATCAGAATAAATAAAAAATATTTTTAAATTCCATTTCTAAAATTTCAAATTTATTAAAATACAGAAATCAGACATTGATAATATAATGGAACTACTAACATAAATAAGTCAAATTGCACCACTGTTTAACACCGTATATATCCTCAAAGTAAGGGTCACTCAATAATCTAACATTGTTGTCTACTTCCATTTTCTATATTTCCCAGCTAGCCCTCTTTGTCTTTGCATTTACCATGGTGGTTTTTTTGCTATTTAATCTTCTTATACTACAGAAATACAGTTCCTATCATCAAATAGACTGAATGACTTTTGTAATTATCAAGATAGCTTTAGATGCTGCCCCACATAAATGTACTAACAGAGATAGTTATAATTTAACCCCTTTAATGCTGTCTTTCAGTACAGTGATTAACCATAACAGAATTTTTAATAGGTCAATGTTTTCTTAAAATGTTAACTTTTCAAAGTCATGATGTGCTATGTACTTCTGGCATCCATTGGTTAAGAGAATTAAATTTAGCTCCCACTTACCAGTGCAGACGTTTGAAACAATGTTGGAAATAGCTGACTGTATTACCTCAAGTTTTTATTCTGTGATAAAACTTCTTTTTCACTATCCAGATGATGATTAAAACTGAATGTAAAGGTTATGTTCACAAAGTTCTACACGTCTTGTAATATGTCTCTCTTCAATGGTAAAAATAACTGCAAATGTTCAGAATTCTAGAGTTTAACTACAAAAGTTGGCATTTTCTATTGCAAAGTGTGCACTTTTTATAACAGATAAAAATTACACCGTACTCATTTTTTTTCCTTCCGTTCTGCTTAAATCTCACTGCAGGATGTGTGACACAGGGGAAGGGCTGTTCACCTTTCAGACACGAGAAGGAGAAATGATATATCAGAAAGTACATTCTGCCACACTGGCAATAGCAGAGCAACATGAAAGATTAATGATGGAGATGGAGCAGAAGGCACGGGTAAGATCCCTTCACCAAAATCTTTAAACTTATAAAAATCAGTAATGAGCAAAAGAAATATGGAGTAATAGCAGCTTGTGGATTCAACCATAACGATGCTATTAGTTGTGTGGCTAAGACAAAACAGATTTTCAGATTTATGTATTTTCATCATCAGGGATTTTCAGCATGTGTTATACAATGATCTGTTGTTGGTGTCTTTTTGGAACAGTGGATACCATTGAATGCTAGATCTATGATTACCATCTTAATTAAAACTGTGGCTCTGTTACTCAAAAATTAAACCTTTAGCTGAAGCCAGCTGTGAGTTGCCTATCAATGAATAAGAGTTAATTGCTCCTCATGGCCTCATAGGTGGAAAAAAAATCCAGTATAAACACTCCTAGGTGACAGCAGACATGTTGTGTTTTTCCTAAACCCACAAAGAAATTACTTTTTCTACACTGTAAGAAGTACCAATACAATGCAAGTTCAGAAAGACCTATCTTTTAATCTTAAATTCCGAATTTCTAGTTCTCACAAGTTATCTTTAAGCGACTACTGAAAAGTGAGGAGCTTTTTAAGACAGGAAAAAAAAATAAAAGGGTTCCCTGTATGCTTAGAAGTACAGATGGTCTTAAGTGATCATTCTGGAAAGCTAACTTTCAACTGTGGCTTGAAGCTGCCTGTATATCCACCAGAGAGGAAAGATATGGGGAGGCCAGGGAACGTGGTCTGCACACTTTTGCTCTCCAATGACCACGATTCTCCACATATCTTTATCCCTAGAAAGAGATTTCCGGGTAATCGCACCGTTTCCAGTGACTCTCTCTTCCTTCCTCCCCCCACCCATCGAGTATGTGCCCACAGCCATGCAAACATGACCTACATGATCCTCTCCCACTACACTCCATCACTGTCAAAATACCTTGCTCACACTCCTTAGAGAAAGGCTCTTGCAAAGGGCAACTCAAGACCTCAGTGTTCAACTCCTTCTCCTAATTACTCCTCAGATAAGTCCATATTCCTCTATTTACCGAAAAAGAACCTTGAAAAAGATTTAGATTTCCGTGTCAAGAGTCTGTTATGTTGAATGCTCCCCTGAGACTCTGTAAGTCTCTAAGTAAGACATGGAAGCTATAAAAAGTGACTTTTTTGATGGTGAGTTCTGAGACAGGAAGCCATAAGAAGTGACTCTTTTTGATGGTTTATGAAAAAAGGTGAATGAGTTTTCCAATAAAACTAGACAGAGCAGAAGCATTTGCACCATTGTTGAAATGCACAAACTTTGGACAGAAAAAGCAGGAAGAGGAGAGTTCACAATCAAGATTAAAATAAGGTTAAGGGACACAGGAGCAATTGCTGGAAGGTCCAAGACAAGAAGACAGAGTAAATGGAAGATCATCTGAAGTAGCAGAAGTGCTGGCAAGAAACAACGGCATGCTGCTGGGCAGAAAGTGATTCAATAATAGTCCAAAAACCAGGAAAAAATGTCATTATTAATATGTTTGCTTTTAAAGTGTCTACACCAGTAAAATAAATTAGAGCAGTTTCATGCTGCTGTAAGAAGTGCTTAGACCAGGATGATACGGGATTTTTCTTTCATGGAGCCACCACTGTCAGGTGTTCCATCTACCAATTAGCAGCTTCACTGCAGAGCTAAGTCTGCCATCAGATGACTTCCTTGAAACCTCATTTATGAAGGCTGTGACCATATGGTATGTAACATCAAACTCTGAGAGAAGGCTGAGAATAGAAAAGACTCATCAGCCACGCAGTGTATCATGTACTTGGCTCCTGGATGAGGCTGCGCTGTGATCTGCAGAGGGAGATTGGTAGAGACCTGCTGTAGGCTGCTGTAGGCTGTGTAGAAGCTGTGGGCTGTGTAAAAGAGGCTGAAAAATCTGTTGACTTTGTATTTCAACTAGTAAGCTAAGGTTGGTTTGATTTTGGAAGCTCAGCTACTCCTAATTGATGGGGTGCTGAACATTTAAGGGGTCATCTGCAGCATATGAGTGGTGTTCATATTAGCAACAAAATCTGAAAATCTTAACTAGACTTAGTATGTGTTATTTTCCTTTTTTAAAGTGTAATTGCTTCTCTGATACCTAACTCCAACAGTTTTAGCAAATGCCTATGTGTATTTTTTCCATAAGATCTGAAACTGGAATACAAGCAAGAGCTTAGCTCTATACATGGGGTTTTTCACTCTTTGATGACCCTTTCTGTAATGAACAGCTCATGTTTAGTACTACAGAATTAAATCTTTTTTTGGTAAAGATGAAAATGAAAGAAAATTTTAAAAGTAAAGGAAGCTTAATGGGAATCCGCTATATAAATCAGAAAAAGGGAAGAAATGTACAATAATTCCATCTTTACTTCTTCCTTCCAGTCATTAGAAGTTATATATTAGAAAGGGCTCTTGAATACTTGTGTATTCTGTCCTAAATTTTAACATATTGTAAGTCATTAATAAACTGAATTTTCATTTACATTTTTCCAGATTGTAACAGTTTATAATCCAATATTATAAAAAGTGAATAAAGTTTATAAAAGAAATCAAAGTGCATTTTTTACCAAAGCAACCTTGATGAAATATATTACTTATATAGTTAGTTATATGTTATATGTTAGTTCTCATAATGAATATACAAAGTTTGTCACTGTACTGATAAAAAAAGCGAAAAGACGCAAAACACACAAAAAGCCAGAAATAAATTCTGGCAGAAGAAAAAAGGTAAAATTAGTTTCTGCTGCCAGAGACTTGTCAGATAAAGGTATTGCAGGCAGACACATACCACATTTACTCCATATATGGAATTCCCTGCACACAAAAATGCTGCTTCAGAATACTAAAAAATAAATTCATTTTTATGCTAAGAAATCCATTGCTTAAGCCAAGTAACATGCTGGATGACTATGTTAATAACAGAGAGACATGAGAAGGAAACTAATTCTTCCCATTACCTTTGCAAGGACATGGACCGGAAGCAAAATTGTTCTGTGGCATCTAGTACAATACAAAGTCTGCAGGAGAACCCCAGCCAGCTAAAGTAGGCAGTCATGCGCACACTGTTGTCTTCTGCCCATTTCCCTTTCAAATTATAACACTGGAAGAAGGACTTGAAATACAAGAGCAATAGTCACTGGCATGGTTGTAGTTTCAAGTTGGTTATTGGTTTTACTGGGATTAAAGCAGACTGGATTTTATTCAAATACTATGACAAAGTGGACAATGATCTTAATTTAGCTCTGGTGGTGTTCTTGATCAAGTCTGAATTGTTAAATTGGCAAAGTGATAGTGTTTTATGCTCACTTCGTTTGGGACAATAGCAAATTTGGGCCAATGCAAGTAACTAAAATGAAATTCATTTCAAGGAAATTATTATCTATATATTCACTTTTTTCAGTCTTTGCTTTTTTAGTGGATCGGTGTAATACAGATGATGATTTTTGTCTGTGGGTGTTTTTTTGAGGGGAGGGGTGATATGGGAGTGTTTTGTTAGTGGTTTTACAGTTTCAGCGCAGCAAATTAATTAAAATGAACAATGACTGGCTATTTACAAGAATTTATTTAGTGCTCTTGTATTATCTATATGCGAGTGTCATCAACTCTGGTTTTATTATCCAAATAGTCTGCGTTGTTACATACCTCTTCTCTTGCACACACATACACACCACCCCTCCTTTTGTTTTTAAATGTAACATTTAGAGATATAGTTGAACTGGCAGTGCTGGAATTACAAAAAAAGAAGCGATAGCCTCAAAAATATTATGTATCCCCCCTAATTGTAGTCTAATGCTAAGCATGGAAGATGCACACCTGAGTGTCTTAACAGCCAGCTCGTCCATCCCTCCCCTGTCCCCAGGCTGGGCTACAAGCTTCTTCCACTTCCCTTCTGTTAGCTCAGGTGCTTAGCTGACTCGGAGAGTCGATTCAGTTTGCTCATTTGGAAAAAAACCTCTAGCTAAAAGGAAGAGGATTCTGCAGGGTTACTGAGCTGAATTGGTTTACAGAGGCACTGATGAACAATCAGGTCTTCCCTGTTCTCCCATCCTGAGGAGCGAAGGAAAAAGAATAATTCACCCTCTGTAAATGCCGAGTATCTTCCTTCTTACAATCGGTAGATGATGTTGTTTCTGGTGATCTTTTTTTAAAGAATCTCAGTGAAGATAATTTTCATGCACCAGCATATGAACACAGTTGTTTTCAGCATTAGTCTGTCTAACCTCTACACCAGGATGACAATGTCCTTACTGTCACATGCTGTTGGAATTTAAGACCTGATTTTCCTCACTAATGCAAGCTTTGATCTTCTGCCACTCAGCCTCCACTGAAAACAATCCTGATGTAACTTCTGCACCCGGTGTTGTTCAAGTGTATAAAATGGGGGGTTAAGAGCTGTAGATTTCTCATGTTGTGACTACGTGTATCAGGGAGGCACACTAATGAAATGGTCATAACTTTGTAACCGTATAAATCAACTCTTTCAAGATCTGCCAATAAAACCTATTGCGTAATCTCAAAAGAATAAAAATTTTCAATGCTTAAAAAATAATTCTAAATAAAATAGCACTAAAGTTGATGTCAGCCAGCTGAAGTTAACCAAACATCAATAACACTGAAGAATAAATGCATGAAGAATTTACAGTGGCACAAGTTTCATAACTTACTATCGTAGGAAATAATCTATGACACTTGTTTTGCTTTAGACAGTAGAGCTGTAAAATATCATTTTAGATTGTGATTCTTTTGACATTCACCAGAAGATAAACACCTTTGCAAAACACTGCATCTGTGTATTTCTCTTCCATTCTCCTTATTTACAAGTCTTGTCTCCAATGTTCAACTTAAGTGAATGAGTCATCATGATAGATTTCTGTCATTTAAAAAAGATAATACTGATGACATATGTGGTTTTTTTTAAGTTATTAGGAGGGAAATAATGAGTGTGCCAAAGAAGACAAATACCAGGCAATGGAACTGGGCTTAAGGAGAGGCTGAAGAGGAAGGTGGCTAA